CTCTGGCCTCAGGACAGCCTTCTTGCAGGCCTGGCACACAGGGCCACTGCGGGAAAAACTCAGGGGGAGTCGACGGGTTCGATTCTGGCAAGTTGGCTCCTCACATATTAACCAACCCTGCAGAAAGGAAGAATGTAGACAAAAATACATTTTGACCATAAATTCAAGTTCTAGCTTCTTTTTACCCCATTTAAACAATGAATCATACTCAGGGAAGAAAAAAAAAAAAATCCCAACTTCAGCACCCTCTGTGAAGCGGTACTATAGTATGTCCAAAGAGGGGAAGGTCCGCGTTTAAGGTAACACAAGCAATGTTGGAGTCCTCTTGCTTCAAAATCCCACAGTCTGCACAGTGCAGTCATCCCTTTCTTGAAATATTCTGAAACCTCTGCTCTTCTCCAGTTCAGACAATGTTAATATGTAACAGAATTATTTTATACAACTATGTAGACCAGACAGCAAGAGACCCCAGAGACCCATAACAAATTAAAATTTAAAGTGCCATTTCCTTGCTTGGGCTTTAGACGGGAAAAGCAGTTTTAACTTTTAGGTTTTCTGATGACAGCCAGAAGCTTTCTTTCCTTTTCTATCTTTTTATTTTATTTTATTTTATTGAAAGCTATTGAGACTTCTGGCTCATTTAGGAAAAACTAACATTGTGCTGAGTTAGAATGAACTAAAATCTGAGCCAGCTTGCTATACCTCAGCTTAGGGAGACAACGCAAAAGGCTTCTTTTAAGAGTACGAAAGAAAGAACGCTTCTGAGATTGGTAAGGATGTACCTTTTGTACAGGTACAACCACAGGTTAAACCAATGCCACATCTCATCTCTAAAAAACACCAATAACAGATACCTAAGTTTTCCAGCAGATTCTCCCAGCTTTTGGAAATGGCTCAAGGACTTCCTGAATCACTCACTCTATTCAGTGGTGATGGATGCATTACTACCCCCATCTCAATGAATTTCAAGTGCTTTTGGAACCAATATAAACTTTTAGCATCTGCAACATCCTGCAGAACAACTACACACTATATGAAAAACTAACATCTTTTCCTTGCACACATCAAAAAAAAAAATTAGAGAGAAAAAGATTTTCTTTTTTTAATGCCTTCTAGTTCTTCTATCAGGAGAGACTAGGAATAATCATTCTGCATTCACCTTTTCCATGCCACTCATGATTTTATAGACCTCCATCACATCATCTGCAATCAAACTCTTTTCCAAACCACAGTCCTAATTTACTTAGTTGTTCCTGGCATGGAAACCACTCCACTTTTTTGTTGCCCTTCTCGGAATCTCTTCCAGGTCTTTTTGAAATGAAAGGGTGGAGGAAAATGAGACAAATGGGGAGGGAGATGAAACCAGTACTGCACACTGTATTCATGATGCTAGATGAACATGAATTTATACAGAAACAAGATGGTATTTACCATCTTGTTCTCTGATCCTTTCTTTCCTTAAGTTCTGTTTGCCTGAAGCACTACTGAGCATTTGAGCACTGAGCAGTAATTTCCAGAAAGATATTTATTATTATCCAAGAATTATAATTGTATTATTCACTAGTAAGTCAATACATGCATTGTATACAAAATTAAGATTGGGTTTTTAGCATCTGCATCACTAAACATTACTTGACAGAGGATTTAATTTTCCATTGTTAAATGACAAAGTCGACTTGGTATCACAAGGTCTTTCTGCAACTTCTCAAACAGTTCCTGCTTTTACCACCCCTAAGCAGGCTCAACACTGTCAAACTCCGCATTTCAGATTATCAGCTGATGATGTCCCTGCTAGGAGCAGTGACTGTTTATTTTTGTCTTTGTTTCCAAAATTTGTTTTTGTTGCTCCTGCAAAGTTTAATCTAACCATACCAAGATTCCTGCTACTTTTGACAGAAATATTACAAACCAGAGAGCAACTCAAAAAGTTGCTTGCTTCCTTGCTCACTGGCTCTTTAACAAGTTGTCTCAACATCATGCTCTGACAATTACTTCTACTTAATTTCCATGGTGGCAAGTCAGGCTTCCAATTATTATCATGTTTTTACCCTTCTAGTTTCCACAGCTCCCCTCAGAGCACTATTGTCACTATCACCATCTTGGTTACAAGTCAATAATGGTAGCCTGCAACTACATACCTTTTCTGGCTTTCATTTCCTGGAGATTCTGGTTTGACGGCAAAGCATATTTGTTAGTAAGAGGTGACTTACGTTTTCTTTCCTCAATGGCATGGCCAAAAACAAATCTGTATTTTGTACTTCAGTAATCCAGCATACTGATTCAATACGACTCTGTCAGTAGCCTAGTTTAAAGTTAGATATTTGAGGTACTCTATTTCGAATACTTCGGAATGTGTGTGGAGAAATACATAAACTTTAGTTTTCCATTTTCCAAAACTCTGTTAAAATGGGATTTGACTATTTGACTATACCTACTCTTAAAAGTATTGTGGGTGGAATTTTTTGCCTTTTTTTTGTTTGTGGTTTTTTTCCCCCCTTGGATTTTTTTTTGTTTGGATTTTTAAAAAAATTTTTGTCACTGTCTTTCCTATCATTTACTGAAATATGCAGAGATTTTGTTTGTTTTTGCAGCTTGTTCTCTAAAGGATCAGATAATCTGAACACTATGTTCTCTCATGTTTGTCAGCTTTATCCCTATCTTAAACTTAAAAAATATATTCTTCTGTAATGTTTTCAAAAGCGCTAGAAGTCTGATTCAGTTTTTGTTCGCTTTTTTTAAGACGAAACCTCAAATCCTTTCCAAATAACTTCATTTATTTCAGAGACCTCTCCTCTTTCACCATTTCTCCTCCCATATCATATTCTCAATATTATCCCACTCAGTGACAAGCCCACCAAAATACTTCCTGTTGTTCTAGCAGAGAGGAGCTTTTATGACCCTGTGGGCAGACCAAAAAAAATTCTGTGGGGAACTTCATGCCAACAATAATGTATGTAGCACTACCTAAAATGCATGTGCTCGAGTCCATAATGCAGAAATGGAAAGAGCCATTAAGATATACATTTAGGGTTCACTTCAGCCAACTTTAGGTATCTAAAAGTCTGATACCCAGTCTAAGCTAGTCACACTATCATCAGTTTATAGTAAATGGAAGAAGAAATAAGCATCTCCAAAAAGCAATTCATTTAACAGATTTTGGGATGAGAAAAATCCTGCTCTAGATTCTCTTAATAAAATAAGAGTACACCTAATGTCATAGCAAACTTGATGGAAGCAGTATGATCAGTGTATCTAATCACTATGTTTGAGTTTTACTGTTATGTAGATTAACAATGTAAATCGTTACATATTTAATAGTGCATGGCAAGAAAATTCCAAGAATCCCGAAGTCTTCTGTGGATTTAATTTTGATCTCTCGCACAACAGTTGTCCTAGCAGTCCTAGCACCACTCTCCTTGTCACATACAAATTATTTATGACAAATATTTCACAAGTGACATTAGGAAGATATACACAAGACTGAGCTACTTCATCAGCAGATGCTTCACCATGGAAAGTCCTAATTTAGGACCTGACTTAACATAGACATCTGACCTGTGTCTTCTGGAGTCAGCAGATGTAAACAAGCCCCAAGTGAAAAAGCTAGTCCTTAGCTTTGGTTTTGCAAATGAACACAAGATTTATTTCTAAAAGAGGAAGGTGCTAAATAACATTAACATTTTTTAAATAACTCAATTTTAATAGACATGGAGTAACTTCCTAATGAAAAAAGCTATCCAGGGATAGCACTAATATCTTCAGGCACTCACTTATGTGAGTATTGAGAATATCATCAGAGCCACTGTGAGAGAAAACACAAAAACATTTCTGGAAAGGATAATGAATTGTCATAGATCTTCCATTAAGTTAATTCTTAGAGACAAAAATCTATGCTCTGTGTGGAAAGCTGTTTATGCCATATTTACTTATTATGTGGCATCTCCACCTTCCTAGAAACATCTGGTAGCAGTCTGACACAAAAAGGGCTTTAAAATACACAGCTAGGCAGGGGGAGGTGCAGAGGGTGTCCCCACCCCTTCCAAAACCCCCCTGTTTAAAAGCATAATTGTTTCAGCTGTAACTATGAAAAGATTCTATTCAAAGACTCATGACTCAAAACATATTAAATTACTACATTTGAACTTTAAAACAATTTATTATACTATAAAAACAAAGCATGGAAACTGTCAGATAGTAAGGTACTTAGGGAATGCAAGTGCAAGTGAAAAAACAAAGCCTGGAATAGGAGCAGCATCTCAACTTCGGCTGAGCAGAATACTCAAAAATAGACAACCATGAAAATAATACAGGATAAAAGTGTTTTCTGCCACCTATTGGCATTTTTAGCTAACAATTAAACAAAGGACAACACCATTTGCAAGGTACTGCTGCTATTGTCTTATAAGGGAAAGCATAGATGGTCCACCCAAACTACCATTGAATAATAACATTTGAAGCAAGTTTCTTTATGAAATTGTTTTGGTCTAGTGCAGTCACTCCTGAAGAAATCGCTGGGAACTTTGCTGGTCACAAAATACAGGTGAAAAAAGAAGACTGAAAAACCCTGCTTAAACTAAAAACAATAGCTTAGGATAAAAATAAGCATTCAAATTCAACAGCTTACAATTATACCTGTTTTCAACTACTAAGAAATAATGATCTAAACATACTGAACAGCACGTTTCTCTATAAACTATATTTTAAAAAATGGAGATCTAAGTTGTTGCCTAGAATAAAAAAAACCCAAACATGTTACGTAGATACTAACTAACTAAATGTCCCTTCAATTCCTGTAGAAAACAGCTCATGTCATTTGTATAGACCTCCTACCAGTTATAATACATACTAAAGAGGTGTTTTCTTCTTTGTCACCTCTCTATTCAGGTCTTATTTGCGTTTGTTTGTACTCACTATCTGTTAATCTCTCTTAACAAATGACAACAATAACTCTTGCTATTATGCATGGAAATTAAATATGTAGATAACTGTGCAAAGGGAGCTATTTTTGAAAAAAGCAGTATCAGAAACATGTAGCTCTTTATGTCTCTTGTTTTGCTTTGATAATTAAGCCATAGCCCTGATTTGTTTTAAACAAAAAACTTTTCCATGGACATGCA